GCCAATTCTCATTCCAGCAACTGCTCCATATTCATTAATCATCCGATCAACGACGCCTCCTAGTCTCGACTCATGGCGTCGTTAAATACCAAACCAAATGAACTTGTATGTACCAAAATTCGCGATCGACTGGGAAGCACTATTTCTTCATATATGGGCGGTCCTGGTTTCAAATCTCAGTTCGGAGGCCGGCTACTATGGCTCCGACCGTTGTTGTTTTTGTTGTTGTCGTCTTCTTCTTGTATTTCTTCGTCCTCCAGGACAATTTTGGACAGTAAGTGAGATTGTCCAAGGACCGCGTTTTGCACATCCCTTCTCAATTTGTGGTCAACTAATCACAGCATCATTCGACGCTCTACGTATACTGGTAACAATTTATAAATATGTAGGGTCTAAATAAACTAATAAGTTAATTAAAACTCTCCGTATGCAAATATACGATATGCCTGTCGATTATCGATATATTAAATATTCTGAGAAAATATTCCAGTGTATTGCGAACGTCAGGATAATGAGTTCACACACTCACCGCAATTTTGTTCGATTTAACAGCAGCATTTATGGTAGTTTTAGACGCTGTCAATAATTGAGATTATATAGCGTCGAATGGTACGTGAATCAATATTGAACCGGAAAGAATTTCGAAGGCAGATATCGTTATGTACTATGAGCTAGTACCCCACCTCCATTTCCCTGCAGGAACTATGCAGAACTTTGGGAAACCTGGGCTAGAATAGCCGATGACCCGTCCGGCAGTCAAACCGATTACTTTCGGAATACAAGGGAGCAGTGTTACCGCCTCAACCAACTTACTTTTGCAGCAAAGCCAAAACTCAATATTCAGCCACAAGCCATAAGCCCCCCTGCAGATGTGTAGGACGTGATGTACAGGAGTTAACTTTCACAAAATGTGCGCAGGTATACAGAAACTATTTCTGGCTGTTCACTGATAAAACCAAATATTTCTATTTGCATGATGTGTATGACAGCGAAAGCTGATGCTCTGCAGAGTCCGCAAGGGCTGGGTGGGACGGAAATGGGTCTGGAAATTCAATATAAATTCTACTCATGTCTGCCTGGCTCCCTTTCACGGGACTCTGTGTGGGACGCAGCAGGGCTGAGCGTAGGCGTCCCTATGGAAACACGTGCAAATAGGGAAGCTGTTACGCCATACTTCACAACTGTTAGCTAACATTTTTCCTTTTGGAAAATAGACTGTATTACAACAATACGGGCAACTTTTTAATGAAACACCCACTCACAGCTGTTACATATGAATGTTACATCCCGTACAGCGGCAGTACACGTAATTTAAGACATCAAAATGGGAATGATTTTGTAAATAAATCACTTCAAAGCGACAGGGAACCAATTATGGGGTTTAATTCGCATAGCGTGCATGAGAATAACGCATACAGTGGCGCTGATCTCTGCTTATCCGCATGTTTCAAATGTGAAATCTCTGGTATGAAATGCAATGCTAATAAAACCACACAAAACTCGTAATTTTTACTTTCCTACGAACGGTAACAGCAAAGTGACGAAAATACGGACACGAGAAGTTGAAGTGAAGGTGACTGAAGTCGACACACACCATTCAAACTGCACTTCAAGCGCACTATACAAACCCAACCTGCAAACCATACGGCCACAGGAGAAAATTTCCATCCATATGTAAACTGCAACCTGTGTATCACTATACACAACTAGCCAAAATTCTTACAAGCCATAGCTATGAATCTACTAGAAACAAACAAAAAAACTTCTTGGATTGACTAATCACGGCACAACCGCACATGCTTATAGGCCAAAAGACGTCAGCAACAACGCACACTCCCAATCGAAACATTAGCTACACATATTTTCTAATATTACTTGATTTATTAGACAAACATATCGTAAAATTTAGTGACAAGACATCCTCAATTTAAGTGTAAACATTGATCTTTTATTAAAGCCCTACATTTCTAAAAATTGATCCATTTCACAAAATAAAACAGCTCGATCTAGAACTGGCTGCGCGGAAGAAGTTCAACCCTATCAACAGAAAGCAAACTCTTCTTATGCAAAGCAGCACTCAATCCCATATGGACCTAGGCAATTCAGCTGTGGGGACAGCCTCAAATTCCAGCATCGACATCCTCCAGCGCTTTCAATCCAAGACTGTCCGATCCATTCTGAACGCTCCTTGGCTCATAAACAGCTACAGGATTCATGAAGATCTACAAATGAACGCAGTGCTCAGTGCGACAAGAAAAGCGGAACACCAAATACTTAACAAATTAGAAAGAAACACTAATGCACTAGCAGTGAGCCTGGTGGACAACAGCGAAACTACACACAGACTGAAAAGATACACCTTCCTAACTCTACCAGACAGACCTGAGTAAAACCACAAGACAATAATTAAAATGATACATAAGTGAACAAGGAAGAAGAGTATATGAGTTACAGCAGTGCGCATAATTCACTCACGAGCCAGTACTTACTGAACATGTATAGCGGATTCTGCAGATTATGTATAAGAAATGTGAACAAAGTTACAAAATAAAAAAAAAAGACGAATATATATGTATATTTATTTATATTTATAAACACCACCTGATGTGATGATATCTTTTATATCAAATGTTAATATTCTGTCTTATTATATAAATCCTACATGTTGTAAAAATGTAAATACAATTGTAAAGCAACGTGCGCCCGAACGGTTGTGGGCGGATTATACTCGTACCTGAGTTATTCAGTCACAGGTCGCTGCCTACCGCATATGATCGACTATTCAAGCTCTAAAATCAGGGGGTTCTTTAAACAGACCCCAAGAAACATATTTGAGATTTTCTCGAAAATGGCTCCTACAATTTTGATTGCATTTCGGTAATTTAGGGACACAATTACCCTTAATAACACTTCATCAGTAGCATCTCCAGGAGAATATCTGTACGCACATCAGGGGCTCAAATGTGGGATGTCCATTTTTTCGAAAATTGCCTTACCACTGGACGGACAGATCTCGTTCGGTATTGAGTAACCATGAGCGATCTATCGAAACACAGTCAATTTAGTTATCCAGGTAATGTAGTCAAAGTCGGCCGTATAAGACATATTCTTAGCAATATTTGTGCCCACATTTTTTAAATACATACTAATAAGTAATAACACTATCCCTCTAAAAGACCGTCAAAGCCCATATGGCTGTGAGACATCGAGGCTCCCACATCTTCTCTAGAGAATCGGCTCACACAAGGCGGTGAGTTTGTCAGCCTTACGCGCCGGCCCACATTTACGCCCCAGGAAGATTCCTGGAAGTCATTTCTTTTAAAGGCTGAGTCGACCTCAGGGACATATTGCGGCTGGAAGAATTAGGTCAACTTAAAAAAATCCAATTCATCGGGACTCGAGTCCGCGACCTTACGGCTTGTAGCAAAGTGCCTCAACCAACTAGGCTACCGCTTATAACCTAACAAAACTGAGTCGAGCCTTCAGAATTGGCAGTTGCAGGAATGGAATTGAATGTACAAGGGGTGGGCCGTCTTGGCCCTTGTACCGCGACCGCAGTTGGAAATAAGACGTCATGTGTGATTTGAAATTACAGTGAGACTCTTAGAAATCCGTTTCCAGGATACGGCTAGTGAAGGCTGAGAATCCTAGTGCGTGTGTAACGGTGAACTGGAAAGTGTATAGATCAGCGCTTGCGCTGTATTGCCTTTAGTCCCGAGTTGTGTAAGATGTCAATAAATTCATACCCCGTCTATAAGTCACGCAACAACCATAAATCGTGACAATAATCTATTCGGTGTTGCTGGGTTTTCTTTTTTGAATTTAGTTCAAGCTTGGAATAAAAGATGCGTTTAATGTGCTTTGTGTTAAAAATGGATTTAATTCGAGTGAAACTTCAGTACCTATTACAATAGCCCTATGCAGCCTCTGTCAATATTTCCAGTTCTATACCGTAGTTCGTTCCGAATTAGATCGACAGTGACGTGGAAAGTGCGGCGGCCAGAGTTTCTCTGCACTGCTGCTCCGACTCTCTGAGTACGGCTGTTCCAGCTGACATGGACAGGTGACACGCAGACTGCGCTTATTTCATTTAGTCTGCAAATGCATAAATTAAATTTCGTTTCAACTTATCTTTCGCTGATTGTTGTGGTGATTCTATATTATTGTCGGGGTTTCCGTGGCCTATAAACATAATAATTTAGAATCAACCTGTATGTTTTAACTCCATGGAAGAGTCCTTCATAAGAAGCTGATTGTCGCTAAACTGGTGAAGAAATTCACCCCATATTCCTTGCCGTATTCAAAAGAGTCTGCTACTGAATCATGTCCTGAGTTAGATGAACAGAATACATAACCTCACATTCTATTTATTGAAGATACATTTTAATATTATACTAGCATCTACGTCTTACAACTGAAGTCCTGTATTCATTCCTTGTCTCTATCAAGCATTCTAAACGCCTCAAATTCATTAATATAATTCTCGTATATGATACATCCCATTTCATTATATTTATTTCGAGGGCCCACGAAAAGAGAAATGTAGTTAAATAAACTAGGAAACACACGATTAAGATCGCTTTACTGGCTTCCAGTTGAAGAAATATTGTCTCTTAGGTACGCCGCACACCGACATGCGTCAAGACACGATGTCTGCGACATGACGCAAAGAAAGGACCACGGTTGAAACGAATGAGATTGTGAAAACAGCCGCAAACCGGGCTGAGTCATGATGCTGACGTCAGCTGCACAAAGTTGTGTACTGTATGGCAGTAACGGAGTTATGTACTTCTCAGCTACAAGAACTGAGAAATATCCTGCACTCCGTTCGTCCGCCATGTAGACAACTGTCGTGATTCACCATCAAATGACAATATTTCTGTTGCGTGTAGCAATGTTTGGTAACAAATTCATGCTTGTCACCTAAAAATTTCGAGGCTCCTACAATTTAATGTATTTGTCCATCGCTGATTTATGCCACTAAATTAAGGAAAATTTACCGTCCCTCAGCTCACTGGAGGAACTTGGACGCCCACTACCGGCTACTTCAAACCGCATGTGTTGTTCCTCTTCGTCGTACCTGTAATAAAAGATAAGAATTTTTGTAAGATTTGAGGCTTTCACGGCGGTGACTATGAAGAAAGCAGTCATCTGGGATTTGGCACCGTGCATATGTGGTGTTAACCGACGTTTCGGAGGAACGTATCGCCGCAGCTTTTACCGGTTCTCACGGTCTCTTCGCTTGCGGATTTCTTATATTTTTCTTCTACCCTGAAGATGGAGGCGATACGTTCCTCCGAAACGTCGGTTAACACCACATATGCACGGTGCCAAATCCCAGAAGACTGCTTTCTTCATAAGAATTTTTCTTCCGCATCAATTGAATCGACATACATATCATATTTGACGTTCCTGCGGCAGACAGCAACAAGATTACTGCCTTTTGCGACATAACGCCTTGTGGTTTAGTACGTGGGCACGAACTTCTGGAGGACGTTGCTGCCACAGTCTTCAGGGTAGAAGAGTGGAGGTGGCTGGTTCCTGGAAACGTTGAGTCCACCTGCGAAACTACAACGCCGCCTCATCCCAGAAAACTAATCTTAATCCACACACACTTGCCTGAAACTACATCCTGTCATCCTGTCTCTCTACGTACATGGGAGAAGCCTTACGAACCCACTTCCCTTCCAAATATTTCCGCTTGCACACAGTCAGACAGAACCCATCCTTAGTCTAAGCACCGTTGACGTGGAAATCAAGATCTTCAGACAATGTACAAGTTAGCGCCTTCACTGACAGCTGATACTTGTAAATTACTTATACAGAGTGTAAAAAAGTAAAGTAAAGTAAAGTAAAGCTATCCCTGTACCAGGCCATGAAGGCCCATAGGGCTGTGAGACGTTGAGGCTTCCACATTATCTAGACAATCGGCTCACAGATGGCGGTAAGGTTGTCAGCCCTACGCACCGGCCGCCCTTTACCCCCTCCCCCCACCCAGGAAAATTATTTATTTAATTCCTGGTACTCATTTCTGCTAGAGGCTGAGTGAACCCCATAGTGCGGCCGGAAGGATTAGGTCAATTGAAAAAAATCCAATGACCTCATCGGTATTTGAACCCGCGACCTTCCGACTTAACCACTACGCTACCGCGTGTCCCCTTCAGAGTGTAAATAAATATATGTTATATGGGTTCAATCTGATTATATTTAACACACCCATGTCCGGAAACGCTTTGTTTACGCGTTAGGGCCTCTGAAATGTGAAGGAGGACGCCCTCACCTCTTACCTCTGTGGCTTACTGGTGACATTTACCTAACATTTCTCCAAGAGACCTCACCGAGCTGCTGGAAGTGGTACCTTCGGAAGTCCGTCTGGCGCCCCGGCACACTGCACTAATGTCATCCGTGGCAACAGAGGGACCGGACGTGGAGGCTCAATAACCTGGCCCCTCGCTCTCCTGGAGCTGGAACCATCTGGGAAATGCTGGGAATCTTTCAAAGGGTCCAGGATAACATGGCCAGGGGGTGCAGAACATGCAATGGAGTCGGCGGCCGCCAATAATGACGATTACATCCCCTAAAACTTACGCATCCTCTCGGAAATAAATTTGGCCCTTAATGCCGAAAGGAAGCGTTTTCGGACATGGGTGTATTAACAAATTTGATCACATTCAACCAATCTATCTACCGCAGAGTGCCGTATAGCTAACCTCAAGTATCTGTGTTGGATTTGAGGTTATCACGGCGGTATCTATGCAGATAATTATCACTAAGCGAGCTTTGCTTTGCCGGCAGCCTGTTTCTTGGTGTCTACTTGCCTGACTCACACTTCGACCTTGAGAACAGACAAGGTGCGTTCCTCCGAAACGTCGATGCCAGATTTACATTCGGGAAGATAGTATTCTCAGTGTATCTTTTCTGTATAAATTCCTTCTGATATCGATAAACCTTGACGGTTTACACATTGTCAATTCTTCATGTCAATTTCAACTTCACTGAGACCAGAATTAGGTGCTTGTAGCTTACTAATATGTATAAGTCCATGACAAGTGTTTTGCGAGAAAAGGTAGGACCATTCTTCTGCACTTCACGTATACACAATGTTCTTCGTCAGGCTTCAGCATTGCTCCGCTCTTTCCTGGGAGTCCTATACCTCTTCCGTTCCATGACAGGGATGGGGACTCTGCTGTTGCCCATTGCCTGCACATGCTCCATTTGCGTCTCAGCTGATAAAAATAACAGTATAAATTTCCTGACACTGACTGCATTCATGAAACAACTACGTATACACTTTAAGAGCCGACTAGCATAATTCGGTGAGCACTAAGTTAAATCTTTAATGAGAGCAAGTCAGGTGCCACTACTTCTGTGAGCATACTTCTTTCATAAACACCCTATATCTCACTCGTCCCACTGCACATGGTCTTGTCTGAGTTGTGGAAGTTATTAAATTGCCTCGTAAAACTATACGTTATAAAAACAAAACATAAAACACGTGCACCAAAAATACAAATTAATGCAGTTCAGCCCCGTTCATACGTACACACAGGGATATTTCGGCTAGTGCAGAATTAAAAATCATCGTCGATGCTTTTGTTTCTCAAGAGGACTCTTTCCAATACACCTTCCAATGAACTTTAAGTCGATTTTCGCAAATGACAAGATGGAAGAGTATTACAGTAGAATTGTAGTCTTTAAAGAGATTGACGTTCTATTTTATTAAGTACATTTTTATGATGTGATATTTATTAAATACTTAAGCTTGTCGGCGTACTAGCAACTATAGCGCCAAGCTACTCTTAACGAAGCTGAAGGCGAGTACCACTTCGTGAAAATTAACCTTAGTGCATTATTTACTAGTAAAAAGGTTATCACACCATAAACAAAATATGCTTAATAGGAAAGTATTGTACAATATTCTCAGAGAGTTTAGGATACCCATGAAACTAGTTAAGCTGATTGAAATATGATTAAATGAAACGTATAGTGAAGTCCACACAGCTAAACATTTGTCTGATAAGTTCCCTAAACAAAATGGTCTAAAACAAGGAGACACTTTATCGCCATGCTTTTCACCTTTGCTGTAGAATATGCCATTGGGAAGGTCCAGGGAAACCAGGTGGGACTGAAATTAAACGGGAAACATCAGCTGCTGGTCTACGCTGATGATATGAATATACTGGGTGATAACACAAAGAAAAACACAAAAACTTATTTGATGCTAATGTACTAAGGAGGTTGGTCTAGAAGTAAGCGCTGAGAAAACTAACTATATGCTGATATCTCGTCACCAAAATGCAGGGCAAAATCATGACATAAAGATATGTAACAGATCCTTCGAAAATGCGGCACAGTCCAGATATTTGGGAACGACAGTGCCAGATCAAAATCTGATTCAGGAAGAAATAAAAAAGGGGCTGAATTCGGGTAAACCTTTCGTTTTCTTGTCTGCTGTCTAAAAACGTAAAATTTAGAATATACAAAACTATAATTTTGCCTGTGGTTTTGTATGGGTGTGAAATATGACCCTGATATTAAGGGAGGAACACACTCTGAGGGTGTTTGATAACAGAGTGTTGAGGAGAATATTTGGACCGAAGAGAGATGAAGTGACAGAAGGTTGGAGAAAACTGCATAATGAGGAGCTTCATAACTTGTACTCTTCGCCAAGTATAATTAGAAGGGTCAAGTCAAGGCGGATGAGATGGGTATGTAATGTAGCACGCATGGGACGAAGACGAATTCATGTATGGTTTGGTGGAAAAGCAAGAAGGAAAGAGATCATTAGGAAGACCTAGACGTAGGAGACAGGATAATGTTAATGTGACACGATGCCTGAAAGCCGGAACTGCGGAACCAGAGACGTTCAATGCCATGCAACGACTAGGTGAACAGGTTGTCGCGCAACAAATACTTAAGCAAATTGAAGTACTGTTGGACTATAATGATGGAAAGGGTGTTTTCTGTTGGATCCGAACCGAGGCTATATAACAAGGATCCGAGGCCGTGTGAAGGAGGGGTCGAATACCTCCACCATGAACCTTCGAGTCGCAGAAGGCGATGAAAAGGGAAGTCTCAAATCTGAGACAGTAAAATATGGTCGCAAGTCCCAAGGGACATGGACCTGAAAAAGATTGCGCTGGCAAGGGCCAGCACCATGTACAAAAGACAGACCGGTCCTCTCGTCGGAGAGCGCGCCCCACAAAACAAGACCACAACTGTCCAACATAAATAAATATCTGGTCATAAGCCCCAGATGGCTCTCGGCACCAAGACTGACTGACTGACCGTCAGTCGCAGTGTGACTTAGACTGAATTCTAATTGAGGGACTGACTCTCGTGAGATGGTAGTCGAAGATGATTGCGAGGAAATGGAAACGAATCAGTTGAGTTTCGAGACGCCACCCTGCCAGCGTATGGGTTTGGCAGTGGAGAGAAAATTTTACGTGTGCTATAGCACCTAGATATTTGGAGTGTAACTCAGTGAGGCTGTTATAGTTCCTGTGATACTGAAGAAAGTAACAGACTGAGAACATTAGTATGTAACGGTGAAATGTAAAGTGTGTAGATCGGATATAGCGCTGTATTACTTGTAAGTACGAGTGGTGTATATAAGGTGTCGATAAATCCATTCATCCAATCCATACCCTGTGTACAGTTAAATCCCTAAATCATGACACTAGGATGGATCTTGGAAAAATAGGATGGGGTGGTATGGACTGGCTTAGTATGGCTCAGGTGGGCACTTGTGAACACGTTAATGAAACTTCGGGTTCCGTAAAATGCTGGGAAATTCCTGAGTAGCTGAACAACTGGCTGCTTCTCAACAAAGACACAGGTCCCTCAAGTTAGTTAGTTGGAATGCGAGTACAGCACGGAGACGGGATTGCACGCGGCGAAGCCTCTGGACCTCTGCTGTGTCTACAACAGAACTTATGTGGTTGGGGTCTGTGGTCCGGTGACTGCCGTGACCAAGGCAGATGCGCTTCGGGGTCTTAGACCGATCGAGTCTGAAATTCCTTCTAGGGGATACTGCAAATTGCAAAGGTTTATTTTTAAGTGTAACAAAAATATTTTATT